GTGAAGTTACTTAGGGGTGAGTAATTGTTTTAGTTGTTTTTTAGTTATTTTAGAATTTTATTTTTTTTTTTTTTGTAAAATTATTTTTAACGTTTAAAAGTTGCACAATTAGAATATGAGTAATTATTTTAAAATTTACTTTTTATGAGTATATTATTCGGAGTAGGAAAAGGCCAGCTATAGCCCAGTTTCAGTATCCTTTGGAAATTTGATTCGTTTGAACTTCAAATACCAAATTTTTTACCAAAAGCATCGATTTTCGTTTGCATATTTGTTGCTTTTGTTCTTACCAAGAGTTACAAGACCGCCCGAACAATCGGCGCGGATATCCTATGTTAGTGTTGTTACTGGAATATCCCACCAGTCTCTTCCATCCATCATAACAATATCTCTTTTTATCCGTTTTTTTTTTAATTTTTCGCATCGTTGGTTTCGGAAAATTTTATTTTTTTCTATTCATTATGTTTGTGAATAAATAATTTTCATGGTAAATTTGTTTGGCTTTGGCATTTCAACAAATCTAGATCACCTACAGCGTGAGTTTGGCATGACATTTATCCGACTATATTTTAATAAGCTGTAATTCTTAGTGTCTAGCTGCGAAAAGGATAAAAAAATTGATTATTTACCTCGGCTCTAACATGATTTTCCTTCTTCTTGTAAATCTCGGTTTGGCCGAGGTTCTGGAAAAAATCTCACTGTTGGGAAGCACTTATCGCTTGGGATGTGCTCTTTTTTCTTTTTCTTATAAATGGCTTTTTCGCTAAGTTTATTGATGGCTTCCCCCTGAATTTTGGGCCATCAAAAGACGAAAAACAGCAGTGATTAGCATTTTAAATTTAAGCATTTCAAGTTTCAAGTATTAAATCAAATTTGAGGTAATTTTAGGTTGATTTCATCTCAGGCCTCAGATTTTAGATCAAGGCAACATCAAGACCCTAATTCCGATTTTTTGGGAAGTTTGAATTTTTTTTTTGAGAGGTGGAGGAGGGGGGAGAGGGGGAAAAATTAAACTTTTTTGGGAATTTTAAGAAAAAGAATTTTTTTTAAGAAATTGAGACAGTTTGCCGGGACAAATTAGTTAAATTGTTCAGTACCACAGGCAGCTGCTGCTTTATTGTTGTGCTGCTTCCTGTGATCAGCGCAACTAATATTCGATAAAGTTTGTCGAATTTCCTCGATTCTTGGTTCATTGGATCTATTTTATTTCGTGAATTCACGAAGATCTTTCCGTCTACTATTGGTTTCCGCACTTTTCGCCGTGCATCATGCGCATAATTTTTAAAATCTTTTTGTAATCTCAGCTTCAGAGAACTGATGGACTAGACTTTTGTGCTGGGCTTTCATCCTGGAATTGGAATTAACGATTTCACAGGCATAAAACAGCAATTCGTAGCAGTTATGCTTAAGAATAAAACAAACATTTAATGCTGCTCCAATGCAGTATGTCGGAAGTTCGACCCCGCCAGCGGGACAGCCAATCCCTCTACGATTCGTTCATTCGTTTCGATGGTAAATTGGTACTGGCATGTGCCATGGAATTAAATCTGTCATCAGCTTGCTTCTAAGCAACCCTCCCAAAAAGGAAGCTATCGACAGCGGGTGATTTCTTTTTTCACCTGCAATCACACGAGCTATTTCCGAATACTTTCACCTCCTAGATGGTGAAGAAAAGAAGGGAGGACGATTTCGGCTTTTTTGGTTTAAATAGTAGGGAAAAAAATAATTCTTAAAATCAGTGATGATTTTTTTTACAGGAAATTATCGAATTAGACTTGGAGAATTTACCAGAAGATGGCGAAGAAGTGATTGCAATTTTAAGCCATGAACAAGCAAGACTGCATTTCTGGATTGATGTAGCCGTAAGTAATCCGAAATTTTTATTAAATTTGAATCTGACATTTTTTACTTTTTGGCATTTTTCCCTCAAAAAATCATTTGGAATATCTGGAATACCTGTTTTAATTTATGGTTCGGCTGTATCAGCCCGTAAACAAATCCAAGCACAGGGGAGGGTGAGGCGCGGGTGGGTGCCCTTCTGCAGCGGCGTAGGCACCCCGGAAAATTGACTACTTCTGCGAAAAATCTCCTTTCTGAAAATCGTAAAAAGAAAAAATCTGCTAAAAAAATGTTTTTTGATCGACTGGCTCCTTGCTTTCTACTAAATTTTTTTTTTCATTAAGATAGTATTTTGGGAAAATTTGCTTGCATTTTAACGGTCAGGATATTTCTGTAACTTTTTTTTAGTTAGCATATCATCGCCTTGGCAATGAAGCCGATTTTGTTCGAATTTTGGAAACCTGTGGCGCGAATGCTTGTCTTCAGTACCCGGAATATCTTCAAGATCAGATGCGAGCCCTTGATACTCTTGCCGCTTATTATGTCGTTCAGGTAATTTTTAATGCATTTTTTT